TTCTTCTACTTACGTCACGTCAGTTTCTTATCCATATTGATGGCAAGCAATCTGTTGCCTAACAATATAAAATTCCTATAAAGTTAAATTGAAAGAGGGTTTCTTTGCTTGAAATGCCCCGTTTGTGCAGTCACTCGACGCGACTAGGTTAGTATTAGATATATTCACCCAATTTCGTTTAAGTTGATGAAGTACTGGTAGTAGAACATCAGCTCTACTCATATCTTTGTGGGAAAATTCTACTAGCAGTTCTTCATCACCTTAAACAAAATTGGGTGAATACATTTCATATTAATGATTTATTGATAGTCTCTAAACTCTACTTAAATACGAAAAATAGGTTATTGTTGTCCGGTAATTACATAATTGCCTATTAACTTGTACATCCACTGTTCGAACCACACCGGATTTAAAAATGTGGCCATTGTAGTTATAACCAGATGATAACGACCGATTCAGAAGTAAGATGCTGATCAATTTAAGGCAAGAAACAGGTATTCTCTTCAGTGCCTCGTCGGAAAGATGATTGAGTCTACTAATGCTACTCGAAACAAGCTCTCACTTACAATATTAAAACTTTGCGGCTTTATTTAAGCTGGATATTTTGATATTTTATAGGGGTAAAGTTAAGTTATATTTATGAGTATACTATTTGTATAGCCATTTTCGTGCCTAATTCACTTCATTTCTTCCGAACGCACTATGCTTACAATCAAAGCAAGTAATGGGGCTCGGGTATAATTTTAATTGTATCCTAATTAAATTTCCGCCATACCTTTTCTGCACCAATCTGCTTATAAAGTTACTATGCATTTAAATATTAAATTTTCAAAATTTGTATTATATTTTAATGATGAACACGTGGTATGCTTTGAAATCATACTGGAAAAAGTATTTGTCTTACAAGACTCAAATAACGAATGGCATATCTGCGATGTGAAGAGAAGCTGTTTTCGAAGTACCCCATAATAGATTGCTACTGGGGTACAACACGAGCAAATAGTTCTGAAGGCAGACAAAGGAGGAGCAGTGGTAGTAATGGATAGGACCGATTATATAGAATTATAACTAAGAGCCCTATAGAAACGCTAAAGTCGGGACTTAAGAGTTGCTTGCAACAGTGCGTTAACAGTGGAGATTTGGAGAAATGGAATATGGCGCTAGACCTCCTAATTCATATGATCTGCCCAAAAACCACAAAAAAGGGGTTTCACTTAGGATCCTTTATAAGGGTGGTGTGATGCATGAAACATCACGATTCCTTTTTGGTCAATTAAAGTTAATCTCAGGTTTCTGAAAATTTTCAATGAAGAATTCTTATAATTTTTATTCAGTTAATTGACGAGAAAACAATAGTATAAGAAGATTTGCTAGTATGTTTTGACGTAGTATCGATGCACACGAATGTACCGATAAGTGGGCCATACAGAATTAACCTTAGATCTACACCCAGAGATAATATTAGGAAATGAGAATAGCAAGGAGTCAAGCATGCGATTGACGAACTTAAAATTAAATAGTACCTATTTTATCTTCGATGGTAAATTACATGAACAAACAAGAGGCTTAGCTATAAGATCGTCTTTGTCTCCAGTTTTGGCTAATAACTACATGGCTCAATTGGAAGTCAGGTTTTTTAAAGAGTCATTTGTCCTAGCACCGAAACTATGGGTCAGATAAATGGATTATTACTTTGCTATCTGGCATCATGGCAAGGAGTGTTTGGATGACTTACTTGGTTTAAGGAATAGTGTAGATAAAGCGACTAAATTTACCATGGAGTTATAAAAAGACAATAAGTTTCCCTTTTTAGATGTCCTAGTTAGTAATTAAGGGAGCAAACTAGGTAAAGATATGTATAGGAAACCCAAAAACGCTGGTTTCTTTCTTAATTTCTTCCATAACTATATTTATGGTGTTAAGGTAAGCATAATGAAACTTATGATAATAAGGAGTTTACGCAAATCATCAATTACAGAAGTTAGAAAGGCTAAGAAAAATATTAGTTAAGAACAATTAGCCTGTAGGATTAATTGTTAACAATTTCAAAATATTTAAAAATAGGATGAAGGAAAACCATTATTTAGACCAAAACAAGGAATTTAACAATTCTTCGGCCAGATTCCTAATGCTATCATCTTGCAGGCTTTCAAGAAAGATAGGCGAATTATTGAGGAAATTTAATGTCAAGTTAATGTATAAAGAAATAATAGCGCTTTACTCGATCGTGCCTTCTTTTAGAGAATCTTCCGACGCCCTCTGAAGATCAGGTTGTTATAAGGTTTTGTGCTCATGTGGTAGTGTTTATGTGGATAGACATGTCGACCCATAAACACGAGGCTATCAGAACACAGAACCGCCAGCAAAGGTTTATGGATTCAGAAATCGGAAGTGGCTGAACATGTAGTCGCTACAGAACATCAGATATAATGGTCTAAATCCCAACTTTTTGGCGTACATGGGGACTTGGTAGCTAAAATGAAGTTCAGAGTCAATTGAAATTAATAAAATAAAGGACATCCTGAATAAGAGTATCTAATATAAGGAAGTAAGTAGGAACTATCTCTGGCTACAAAATAGAATTAAAAAGAGAGAGAAGGAAAGGGAAGTAAGAGGAGAAGACTAGACTAAGCTGTAGCCTGTTTATGAGCCTAAAATTGTCAACCAACTCGGGGTTGTTGCATACACACGCAAACACGCATCCACTAAGCTGTAACAAGACCCAGGACTACTGGATCATACTCTAGTTTATCTACATACACAAAAGTTGTGACTATATCCACTCCCCTGCCTGCATCCCTTTGACCCCCTTACATGCAGTCATACTTACATGCATCAGCCAACGAAATCATGGAATGCCTCATTAACATCGAAAAGTGAGGTATAAGAAGTAAGTAGGATCTCAGCTAGCCACCCTTTCTTGGTTTAGTGTTTTTTGTGATTTTTCGTTAATAATGGTTTCTGGCTGTTACGATGTCCATCACATGACGGACAAAAGCTCAACACGGAGTCATCAAGGTCGTAAGACGGTGAGCCGAGGCCTTCTTCGCACACTTCAACAGGCAAAAGGTCAAGGCAACCCTCCTGAGGTATCAGGTGAGGCCAATCTACGAATTTCTTTAACCCGCTTTCTCAAACGAAATGAAAGGTACGCCAGTATCGACATATCTGCAAATGAATTTTTCATTTTATCTATTTCTTTGTTGATAATTAGTTTATAAAGTGCTCACAATTTATTTGTGCCTCTCACTTGGATCCACCCTGTGCCAGATCAGACTTGAAGAAGCTTTATCTCTACAAATAATTTTTTTCATTTTATTTTTCCTTTTCAGTGTCATCGGAGCTCTAGGTGGAGTATCTGGACGCACTTTGTTCTCTCAAGATGCCTCCGAACTTATTGACCGTTTCGGTTGGAAGACCGCTAGAGATCTCTACTCAGCTTTAGAGGAGGAAAGGTGGCGAATGTAACCAGCTCTTCAACATGCTTATCCACACTTGACTTCCAGTGAAGAATGACTGTGGTTTAGTTTATGAGACCTTGGAACACTTTTAGATATCTCCTTGGTATAAATAAATTCAGCTTCTGTTCGGAAGCTAAAAATAAGCGACTTTTCAAATGACCTCTAGTGTTTCTGCTTTTGAATAAAAAGACATGATGGAACTGTGCCTTAAGCTTCATTAGCTAATATAATCATCTAATTGCCACATCTTGCATGACAATCAAGCTTAAGACGATATAGGAATGAAGTGAACTTAACTTAACCGGCGGCAAAGCTAGAGAGAAGACCAATTCAAGAAATGTTCTTGATAAAGATTCAAAAGTAAATGGTGGGAATAACCAACTTAATGCTCTATTCTCCTTTACTTTGGTTTAGGAAGGCAATAATTTAACTTCTAACAATATTTATTTAATTTATTTTCAACATAAGTAAACAGGGTTCAGTTATTTGTACTAAAAGATAAAAAATATGACTCAATTTGTAGGCTGATATTGGTTCGCGGATATTTTAGGGACATAGATTATAAAAGTAATTACATTTTACCGTTGATATATGGGTTAAAATAATCTCAGATACTAGAGTATCTATATGGTGAGACAACTTTGCTACCCGGAATTACTTGGCTGGATTCAAAAAGAAAGCAGAGCTTTGCAAGTACCATTTTCATGCGAGTCATTACCTATAAATAGGAAGAGAGTTGATGGCTATTGAGGCATGTAGAAGATTAATATCATTAGCCCTTAGCCTGAACCAATGCACACTAAGATCGGCTGCTATGCACAAATTGATTTATCCTCACATGAGAGATAAAGTTGGGCATTATGTTAGCTAACACTCTGAAAACATGAAAAAAGAATAGAGAAATCTATAAAGTAACCTGCAAATGGGTCTTGCAGAATTGAAAAAATGAGCAAAAGTACCAATATGTCACTTTTTATCAAGAATTAAGCCTTCGCAAGCTCTATTGCGCTATTGATAAGGAAAGCTTGCGAAACCAAAGTTCTGTAAAAAACCTCTTTATCAGTATCCTTGGACGAACTCCGCCTCCAGGTTATGCTCCTAAAGCGAATCAATAAATGTAACTGATGGCATCTGAGAAAAGCTGGTGTAAAATACTATTTTAGACGCTAATACTGTGGATATTAACTTTATTGGCATGGATAGGCACATTTTCAAGAAATGGGCATAACGTTCAATCAGTGGTTAATTTCAGCAGTCAGAGACCCCACCAAACGCCATCAAGCTCTTAACTTTTCGTTTATGGCCTATATCAACGAAATCCGTATGGAAGTATAAAACTCTTTTTAAATATTCAGCATATCTAGTTAAACTTATAATTTAGGTAGCAAGGAAACGTAGAAAATTTGATTATGCTACTACTGCTCTAAATACTGTATGGGTAGGTATGATTTGCCATAAACATCACGTCTGCCCTTTGTCTTATTGGCCGCCGTGGGAATATGTCATAGTAGTATGATGTCGAAAATCACAGCTATACTAACCGGGTTTGATTTCCATTAGGAGTGCTGCTAAGACCTGGGTGAGGAAAAAACTGAGCTCCATCCTTGACAAAAATACCTTTTTGAAGGTAAGGGTAGTTGAAGATCAATTTTATTATCGAAAGAGTTTGACCTAGTTTTCGCAATTTGGACGTCTTATCAGAGATGGCTATTTGAATGCACCTTCTTAGAAATCCTCTACAATGGTAGTCATTATAATTTTCAGTATCAAATCTACGATTTGATACATTCTCAGAATATTCGCGAACATCATCATAGAGTATTTTCAGTCTTAACATCAGACGGCGTCCCATAAGAGATGCAAACGAAGCACATCAATTTACCAATTTTTATGTCGAATGATTTTGGTATCTGCTCTCATCATGGTATATCCTGCATCCCCAAACCTTGCAACATGCTCCCTCTGTATCCCAACTTCCATAGCGAGAAGGTGCTTTCCTCGAGATCCCCTTTACAACGCGACCAAGTTTCGAAAAGAAGATCAAACCAAGGCTTAGTGAAATTAGCTGGTGTCTTGAGGCCTGCATAAATCACTGTGAAATAAATGCAGCTATCAAACGCTATTAATCTAATACATCATATGGTATGTAAAGTTCTTATTTGGGAAATTTTATTTAGCAAGGCAAATGAACTTGCCTTTATCAGCCTCGATACAACATTACTGAATTCACAGGCAGAGATCTGTTGTTTAATGAATCTTTGTAAACCAATAAAGTGAATATCCACAGTATTGGCATCTAGAATAGTATTTTACACCAGCTTTAGGAACATAAGCAATCCCTACTGGATTTCTGGTCTATTCTGGACAAGAAAAGCTAGGTAAAATTAAGAGGTAAGTGATCTATCAGTCAAAATAGAAGCTATAGTTCTGTTAGATGAGCTAGCATGGACATCACAGGAATCATGACGTTAAAACCCGAAGCAACACACTAAAGAAGAGTCTAGCCGTCATTGCGATAGGTTTAGATTGATATTTTCGTTTGACAGATAGTCTTCTTGCCCTAGCGTTTACGTGAGACATTTATAAGAATGAGACCCAGCTCTGATGATGTCCATTAAATGATGGACGAAAGCTCAGCCCGTTTTCACCTGAAACGAAAGAGGTATCGTGGACTCTGTCAACCTAAACGTCGTATATAAGACAAACAGCTGCAGTATAACGGTATTTATCCGTGCTCTTCTGGTGAGGTCGACCAACGAATCTCTTCTTCATGCACTTTCATACGAAATAAAAATCCCCCTAACAATGTTATCTCAAGAGATTCATCGAAACCCAGTTTCTCTTCCTATCCACAATGTGCGTACGGTTCAACTTCTTGTCATTTATCTTCTCTCTACACTATAACCAAGAAAACTATATTCCAGAAAGTTAATATAATTAGATTTTTAGGAATTTATATTTCTAATAATGTTGTTCCTGTATTCTTTACTCGGTAGACTTTTTAATCTACTGACATCCATAAATAAGTAACTTGATCAGGTATCGCGTGGTTTGGTTAAAACTAGGCTCAAGGAAAGCATTAAGAAACTAGACAAACTAATAAAAAATCCAAATAGGTTTAGTCAATC